GCTCGCTCTTCGCTCTCCGTGCTCGCTTGGTGCTCGCTGAAGCCTGCTCGCTGGCGCTGCTACGCTCCGTGCGCCAAGTGATCGGGGATCCCCGTCGACCCGTCGTCGTTGTCGCGCGGTGAAATCACGCCAGGTAAACAAAGGAACAGGCGCACCGGACGTTTTCCAACGCGTCGCGCGTCGTAAAGTGGTACGCCGACAATTCTCGCGGAGAGCGAGTTGTACGTGTGGAAGACCCTTGAAACCCGAGGACTGGAGACAGCGAAGTATATACCGAGACTACCTCGAAGTCGGAACGGTGAAAATAAATTCCGACTTACGTTTGAATTGACATTTAAAACGAGACTGTATATAAAAAAAGAACCGCGAGTCGCGTCATTGAGTAACAAGTGGATCGCAAGTGGAATAACGAGCCGTGGAATTGAGACTACCTCAGAATAAAAAAAAAGAGACTATAAATAGAAGAGAATCACGAGAGAGATAGAAGAAAAGGAATCGTTCGTCTGGTGTATCCGATTCGAAAGCGGGAGCGCCGCGCGAGATTACCATCTTCCCGTCGGGCCAAAATAATCACTCGCTCTCACCGTGTTCCGTTCCTCCTCTTTCTCCCCCACCCGCTCAGTGCGTTACCTCATCGGAGCTGAGTAGGTGCGTGTAACGAGCGTATACGCGCATTGTGCAACCCGCCGCACTGATCCTCGGAGAGCGAGCGATCGAGCGAGCGAGCGTAAGAAAGAGAAAGAAACAGAGTCGAGTGCAGACACTGTGTACGTTCGATCGGCCTGGAAGCAAAACAATGTGCGGCTGGTGTAGCGCTGTGTAGCGGGTAGTGGAGAGGAGAGCTCTGTGCGTGTGTATACGTACAGCTGCTACTGCGCGGCGCGCTGGTGTGCGTTTGTTTATGCGCGTAGATTAGCCGCACGCTCGTACTCGCGCGCGGGGCAGTTCATTCAACAGCCAGCCGCGCTTCGACGCGCGCGACTCCTCGTCGTGCCGCGTTCCGCCGACGACGTTTCGAGAAAGCGAACGAGGAGAGGATATAACGCGCCGCCCCGCGTATTTGCCCAGTGTGAATCATACCCGTCCGATTACGCACGGACGCGCCTGTACGCGGATTCTCCGTCGTGCTTTGTATAATACACACATATATATATATATTATATATATATATATATACACATACATCGCGTCACTGTGTATTGTTGACGTGTCTCGGCGACAATTGTGATTCAGACGAGAACGAATCGCTAATCGGAAGACAACCCATATTTCTTCGTGAAAAAAGGAATTCTAAAGTCTCCCCGCTGAAATTTTCCTGGTACGAGAAAAGGAAGTTTTTCTGAAAGAATAGTGCAGCGTTCTCTCTCTTTTCTCCTTATCTCGGGCTGTTCATTGTTTACATGGGATCCCATCGACTCAAGTAAACATTGAAAGAAGGAAAGAGGGAAAACTGTTGTCGGCTCGAAGAGAGAGAGAGATAGTAATCTCGTACAGACGGAGAGGGGACAAAAACATAGAGCTTCGAGAGAAATCGTCGAGTCCTCGTTGTACAGTTTATTTACTACACGCCGAAGTCAAGGTTGGTGTTGCCTTTCCCGCCCATCAAC